GGGACGGGTCCACCTGAAGGAGGGTGGGCGGGGGGGGGGGGGGGGGGGGGGGGGGTTATATGGTCTTTTCCTGACATCACAAGAACTATTATGACAAGCCTCTCCTGATATCACAGGAACCTAAAAAAGTTCTCCTCTGTGTTAATTTCTACACATTTTAATGAAAATATCCGTTTTAGTGAGTATTTAATTGCATTTCATTAGCTCTGTACTTGTACTCTGCATAATGACAAAGTTGAAACTAATCTAATCTAATCTAATCTCTTCAAAAAATGTAAAATGCAAAATGTAACTAAATATTCCAACATTTGATATATTAAATTAAATATATACATTTATTATATTTTATTTATATTATATTAAAATGTATCACCATTTAACAAAAACTATATGAAAACTGTCTTAGCTGTGAAAACCTGAGCTCCCGAAATAACATCATCATATTCATGTTTTAGTGAATTGTTACAAAAAGAGCATATTCACAATATGACTTACATATTCTGACTAACACTTAACTAAGTTCAAGTTCAGTTGTGCATTTGTCATTTACTAGTATTCATTCGGCTCAATGCTGCTCATTATTGACTCTTTGGATTATTTGAAATTATTTTCTAGATATTTCAAAAAAAAAAAAAGTACATTGTTGATGTGTCTGCATTTTTTTTGCATCACATCATCATCAACACTATGTTTTAATTAAACTTATTTAATTATCATCATAGTGCACATTTTTTGTATCATCTTTGTAATTGTTCATTTTCATGAAATCAAAAAAATATCAATTTCAGTAAGTTCTTTGACAAGTATGATGCTGCTTTAACAAGGCATTAGAGGAACATTCTATGACATCGCAGAAAATTAAAACATTCATCACAAAGAACTAAAAAGGTTCTCCTGTATAAGACATCACAGAAAGTTCCGACTACAGCATCAAGCTGTCAAATCTTTGGTTTTATTTTAAGGGTGTAGCACTGTTAAACCTACTCTGTTGAATGGCAAACTCTGAAAACCGGTCATTCCAGTGTTGATTTGGAAAACAAAAAGTTTCGTTAATACAGTATGTTATGTGAGCAGTGAGGAGCAACACAATGTGTTCCAGCTTGGAGCTTTTTTACAGCTGTCAGAGTGAAAAGAGAGAAAGAAAGAAAAAAAGAGCGAAAGAGGAAACAGAGGCAGACACAGACATAGATGCAGATTATCCTCTCTCTCATTTCACATCCAGAGATTGCAGGAGCATCAGCACCTCAGAGAGAGAGAGAGAGAGAGACAGAGGGAGGGCTGGGATGACAGGAACAGGCCGTGTTTTGACAGCTGTCTCTTTTATGGGACCCGTCACAATCTCATCCTGCTCTGAGATTAGAGAAACAGAGAGAGAGAAGGAGAGATGGGAAGAAACAGAGAATTCTGTTCTCGTAAAGTGTACGAAGTTCAGGGACAAGTGAAGAAAAAAGACACAAGGACGTGCAGAATGATACACTGTCCCGTGCTACTCCTACGGCTTTCGTTCGGAGAGCAGAATGAAAAAATGAGAGACACAGAAGAGAGGGAGAGAGAAGATATAGAGAAGAAGCATTTGCATAATGTCCTCCACCACAGTCGGACCCCGAGGCTAGCCGCCCAGGATAACAGAGGGCCAATACTCTTAATTCAATCTCGTTATTTTTTCTAATACTTGAGAAATTAATAATTCTGGTCCCCGCCTCTGCAAACCACCATGAGCGCTGAGCATCACAGAGCTGCCTAAGTTTGTAACTTTAACCCAAGCAATTGATGTGGGGAGGCCCTTCAGGCAGACCCACTAATGAATGGATTGCATGTGAGAGAGGGAAGTTAAAAGATGGTCTTTTATAAAGTAATTTAAGAAAATCCTGTTAGCTGGATCAAGTACAAGAGTTTAATTTCTCAAAATGGGGGAATAAGTGAAGGGTTTCCCCCCCCCCCATGTCTCCTTCAGACTCAGAGATATGCTGTATAATGCGCACACACAACACAAGCACACAATGCAAACGCACACAGACTCAGTTTTAGTAAATAACAAATTGGGTAAGTGTTAATGCGTGTGGATGTGTGGATAGTCTACGTAGAATTGAAAGCACTTAGTCTAGTAAACACTGGATAAGTTACGGGAAGTCGAAGCTTAGACAGATAATAATCAGATTAGATTCATCATACTTCCTACAGCATCTGCAAGACACTCACCTGCTCTCTCTGTCACACACACACACACAGTGAAAAGTGTCTCATATCCTATCTGTTTTCCTTCATCAGGGCACACACTGATTCAGTATGTTGTCATTCATTTATTTGTTTTTTCATTGTTCTTTGACCATATATAAATATAAAATATGAATTATAAAGCAATATTAAAATTAATTAATATAATGCAATATTTATTAGAATAATTATGTGCATTGCTGTTATTTAATAATTAGTAGATTTGGTTTTAATTACATTGCTGTTTCACCAAAGATAATAAATAAATAAGTAATATTAATTTTTACAATGATTTAATTGTGCATTATTTAATAATATAATTATTCATATCACATCATGGCTACTATTAGATTATATTTGGTTTTAATTCCATTATTGTTTGACCAAAGATAATCTTCAATAAATAAATAAAAATACAATATTAATTATAACAATTAGTTTTATTATTTCATATAATTATTTATATTGCCCATTATTACTTAATGATTACTGTATCATATTGGTTTTAATTCCATTGTTGTTTGACCAAATATCATGATACATAAATCAACAAAAATATTAAAAATTCAAATACTTATGTATATTAAAAAATATTATAATAACTTATTAAATGGCGTATTTAATAGTTTTTAATCGTTTTTTCTTCTTATCTTTTCTTGGCCACAAAGACATTTAACTGATATCTTTGAATAACTGATTACTTGATGTTTTAAAATCCAAATCTACATTTTATTATTCAAACGGCAGTGAACCTAAATTGATAAATCTGTCACAACAAAACGTTCCGTTTGAATGATTGACCTTTTGTTTGAATGTTTGGACTGTAAATGTTTGACCTTCTGTTTGAATGTTTGGACTGTAAATGTTTGACCTTCCCTTTGCACATAAATGATATCATACAAAATTACAAAAGTTTTCAATGTATGAAAACAAGACAATGCATATGACATTTTTGCAATGCATTGGGGAAGGCAGTTGAAAACATATACACAGAAAATCAAGGTCAGATACTATTAGTTCTGCCTTTTAGATTTTTATTTTTTTGATATTGTGTATTCATTGTTGTGTTCAGATTTACTGCTTTTTTTTAATTATTTTGCGTGCGTCCTCCTTTCTAGCTATAAAGTATCTAAGTACAACTGATTTCCAAAGGTTACAATTTTGTTTTAAATCATAATTTTTATTTGCAGGTGTCATACAACATTCTACGTTGTTATCACAAATGCCTCATTAATTAAGTTAATGCTAATTTAGTCTTTCTCCTTGTCTCTCTCTCGTCTGTGCGACGTGCCTTGGGACGCATCTTTAGAGCTGGAGGGCAATTGAGAGATACTGAAGTGGCTAGATGGCAAGGACTGACTTTGGTACACACACACACACACACACACACACTGTCTCTCTCTCACACAGTTATCCTCACTCCTGGCAGACATACACAAACATTCCCAATTTCTAATCTCTCTCTCTCTAATCTAATTTTCATCATTCTCTCCCTGGCTCTTTCTCTCTCTCTCCTCAATGCCAGCCAACTCTCTTTTCTAAATTCTCTCTCCTCTCAGCTCTTTCTATCTCCTATTTCCCTTTTTGTTCTCTCTCTCTCCCTCTTTTCCTCTCCTCTCTCTCTCTGCATCTCTTACAAAGGCAGCAGGCAGTATGCCTCCCCTGAAAATGAGGCCACGCACGGCAAGTATGCAAATGAAAGCAGTGCTGCTGGATTAGAATGGGACACCATATACCCTAAATCATGATTGTCAATCATGGCGAGGGATTAAGGGATACGGGCTTATAGACCTAAAAAAGCAACACTTCCCCCCCAGGCGCACTTCCATTGTGTGGGAGAGAGGGCTTGTTGGGGGGCTGCTTTAGTGCACTACTGCCCTCTGCCTTTCCATCAAGTTTACTGCAGGCTCAGAGCCGAACGAGCAGCTTCGGTTGTGTGGGTTTCAGAGCAGCATTTGGGTTTCGGTTTTTCAGGCAGGGCTTGGCTCAGTGGTTTCCTGCTCAGTGCCAAGAACCTTAAAATATTGCATGCATTGTTTTATTTTAAGATCAAAGAAACACATTATACGGAAAATGAAGTGGGTTTGCTTTTGGCAGTGGACGTGGATTGATCATTTTAAAGTCACTTCAGGCAATAGTCAGACATTATTATTAAACGAGGGGGGAAAAAATGTATATTATTTAATATACAAAACTATTTTATATTGTATATTAGATATAGTATATAATATAAATACATATTTTTGATGTATGAAAATTCTTAAAATATATGTGACCCTGGCTGTGAAAACCCAGCTAAAGTCATTTTTTGGTTTGATTTACTGTTTTCTACATAAATCATCCTTCATAAGCTAAAGAACATTCTGTGAAAAGACTTTAGCCTGGATTTCACAGAGAGGGTCACATATATGTGCATTAGATGATTTTGCATAAAAAATATATGTAAATACACTTATGAAAAAAAAAAATCTACTTCTGAATAAAAACATACTTATGAAAAAAATATGTCTTGTTGAGCCTCTGAAATGTCAACATAAAACTGTGCATATGATATTGTTGAACTCTAACAATGTCATAAAATAAAATGAAAATAATAATTAAAATAAAATAGAAATACTTGCAGCATTACAATGTCTTCAAGTTTTAAATGCATGAAGACAAAAACGTAAAACATGTCAAATAAAATAACATCAGGAAATTACACACCAACCTTACCCAAGATTCATACCTGCATTCTGCTGGATTTTTACATATCCATTGTGTCCCTCACTTAGCATGGCACCATTGCTTCTTGGGACTTGGCATGGGATAAAGGGTGCAGAGGTGGGTAAAAACAGAGGGCAACATCTGCTTCACAACAGGAGACAGGGCTGCCACTACATCTGCACTCATGAACACAAAAAGACAAAGACTGAAGAAAAAATGCAACAGAATTGATCGGATTCATATGAAATATTAAATTAAATTCATATGAAATATTATGTTGCCTTATGGCAAGAATTCGGCACTTTAATCTCAACAATATTTAATTTTAAAAAACAAGTTGTAAATGTACTGTACAGTGCACCTTGAACTCAAATACTGTAATGCATACGAGCTTCACCTCAATCCACCAACAAACAAACACTAATTGATACGAGTCTATCGACAGGCATCAGAGCAAAGGGCTAATCGTTCAGCATCATTAGGTGAAGATTTAGCTTAAAAGCTTTGAGCTGGCATTAAGCAAAGCTGCTGTTGACATGGATCGAGTGCTGTAATGCTGTATTGTCACTGCTCCAGGAGGCAGAGAGAGGGCGATTTGAGAGAGTGATGCGCTCAAGCTGGGATTTGTGGGAAGCCATAACACTGGAGGGCACTGGAGGCAGCGTGGACCAAAGGAACGGTTGTGGGAGCTCTAATAACACTGCAAACAATGCTGGATTTACTATTTAATAACTAATTAAGTGTGTGGGTAGGCTCGTGTAACCACAAGCTACAGTAAAGTTGTAAGAACTTGACCAAGAAACAGTAAGATGGGTTTGATCTTTTATTTTTCAAATGGGGGCTCAGAAAACTGAAATGAAAAGTTAACTCTGAGAAACAACAACATGAGGATGTGAGGTGTATGTCTGGTTAATACAAAGCTCTTAACCCAAAAAGCTCTCTAAATTGTCAATATGATTAAAATTTACTACATGCCTTCTGTCATCTGATTGATAGTTTATACTTTGTAGCAAGTAAAAGCTATTTTAGTATCATTCTAAAAATGTCCACCTTCAGGTGGTGGTACTTTCTTTCTTTCTTGTCTTTTTGTTCTGTGAAATCTTTAATGATTTTTCTAAAGTAAATGCAAGTCCGCTTACTGGACTGTAACTTAGGTTCACGTGATTATCCATAAATATATATATTTTAAATCATGCTAAAATGTGAGTATCGAATGATATCAATAGGCTTTTTGAAGAATGTTTATTTGTCTATCTCTCAATCACCATTGTATTGTATTGCATTATCAGTTTTGCCCCCACAATAAAAAAAAACTATACAGAGTTTTGATAGAGCATTTAAATATAACCTATTAAAACCTATTATTGGAAGATATAGAGTGACAAGTGATATTTATATACATTTTATGAAAGTATAGTCTACTATATTGTTAAGATCACATTACAAGCTATCAGAATTTCATATACAATTTTTGCACTGTTTGGGTCTGAATAAAACTGTCTTTTTCTTCCACGAGTATGGACTCCATATTATCACTATATCATATTATGGCCTGATCTATAAAATACAATACAAAACATAAAACACATATGCAAAACTTTAAGACTTTCCTTATTAGTTTTAATAAACTAATAAAGATTTTTTTTATTTTGTTCTCTGTATATATATATTTTTTAAATAGAGTGGTATATATTGTTTTGCAACTAGAATTTGTATTTTATAATGATTTAGTGTCTGGTAAATAACCCTTTTGTGAGTGTTCATATTAGAGTATGATTTTACTTTGCAAGACTGGGACTGTGTCCTTTGCAGGCAACATTAGTACAGTGCATATTTTTACCTGACACTATTGGTGAAAAATACAATTCAAGTGAAATAAATATATAGTCCTATGATACTTTACCCTTGAAAAAATTACATTTCATTATTATAATTTGATAATGCTTTATTCTTATTTATAAAAAAATAATATGCTAATGTTATGTATAACTATTATTTCTCACGTTTATACACAGTTCTTAATAATCGAAATCATGGAGCAAACGCTAATATATTTCATAAGAAATATTTGTTCATGTGTGTTTAATGCAAGTTAAGATCTCAGACAAACAGTAATTCACATTAAATGTCTATTAAATTTAAGCACAACTAACTTATATGTATAGTGTGTACAAAAATACAACATGATAGGAAAGAGCTATTTCTTCCAGTGAATATTCCTCAGGGTAGTTTTATCCTTGAAAGACAATTTCTGTGAAAATACAGAAGGTAACATTCAACAATATCCCACCATTGTTTTTGGATATTAAAAAAAAAATTAAAATTGTACAACTAACATTTAAACCATATGTAGGCTAACAAACTTGTCCCAAACTGACATTCACAGATAATACTCTTGTCTTTTGAAAACATTACATAGGTGACATTTGTCTTAATTCCTTACCACTGTTAAACTGTAACGTAACAAATGTAAGAGGAAACCCAAATGCCAAAAAAACATGTTGCTTGGGTCTGAGGATTAAAATACGAATATAAAAAAAGTTGAACATTTAATGCTAATAGAGAACTGTCCTGCAAAGTTTGCCAATTTAAATACATTGTTCCAAAACGTGAAAAAAAAGTAGGCTTGGACTTTTAATAACTTTTGGATACTGATACACAACTGGAGAAAGATCACCATCCCACATGAGGATACGTCTGTGAGCGTTCTCCTTCCCCCAAACGAACCTTACCTCTTCAGATGCGTGTGTGAGAGTGAAATGGTAAAATGATGAGCTCTAATGAGCAGACTGAGGAAAGGGTGAGCAGAAGCTTTATCCAGCGTTCAGTGTTGACAGCACCGCTAATCCTCGCCACCTGCTCAAACACACAGACCTCCATAAACAACAGCAGCGGCCCGCGTTCACTCACACTCACCCTGAGTCAGCCGTTCCCGCGGGAGCCTATGGCTGCTCCGCCGCTCGCTACCAGCAAACGCTAATCGCCATGCAAAACAAATAGTTCTCAAATGTTTGGAAAAGGCCGCGCTGTTTGCACCAGGGCCTAACAAAATAATTTTTTACAAGCTATCCAGTTGTGATTAGGGCTGAGAGAATTGAATTTCCCTGGCAGTGCTCATATTCATATTAGCCTAATTAATAGTGCTGTTTAACTTCGCCTGTTTGCCATCTCGTAGAAACGGCACACTGTGGTGAAAACAGAGGCTCGGGTCAGCTCTGAAGCGTTGCTATCTCTCTCGGCCTTTCCTGGCCGTGACGACCGCACACACTGCTGGGCGGTTAAGCTTAGCAGTTTTCTCCCGTTTTGTCTTTTAAGTCGCGGGAATAATTTTCCTCCTTTGGGAAGACATTACCCTAAACCTTCATGGCTAAGAATACAGGATGAGTCCTTGAGAAGAGTCTGTTTTTCAAAGACTTGTCAAGTCTGATCCAAGAAGAATGTATATTCTATATATTCTCCTTCATGTAGGCTACTTCATTAATAATACATTTTCCTTTAAAGGGGTCAAGTTTTCAAGTTTTCCTTTCTCTTTGGAGTGTTACAAGCTGGTTGTGCATAGATAAGATCCCTGAAGTCTATAGGTTGATATAGATTGGAAAATGAATAACAGTCATTCTATATTTAGGGGTACATGTCATGTCAGCCAAAAGACATAAAATCAGTAGGCCTATTCTTTTTTGATAAATAAATTAGGTGGAATAATATATCCCCTTAATGTATTAATTGTTTGGCAAGCTTAAGCTCTAATTACTTTTTAAATATGTTAATGAAACTTAACATTTGATTCATTATTTTGTCAACTGTGTTACGGACAAATGTTGCGTCAAATGAAACATGAATGAAGTCCCACATGTTTGATTACACATTTGTTTGAAGGTTTTTGAGTCTATTCACCAGAGTTTTTGAGGTTATCTGTTTAACTGATTTGAAAATATGAATTTGGGGCTTTATAATGGGGGTACTGTGGGATGCTGCAAGAAGGATTATACTTTTCTTTAACATAAATCCACAGTATGCTGAATTTAGTGTTATTCACCATCCTTACCAAAGTCATCCATCTCCAGAGATATCCCCATCTTTTTTTTTCTGACGGATTAGTTCACATTTAAAAGATTTATAACATAAAAACCACACATAACACAGTTGACAAAGTAACACAGTTGACAGGTAAGAATGAACTTAGTATCCATAAAGCATTAAACACACACACATTATAATAATATATATTATAACGTTAATGAATATATTATTATAAAGGTAAATTAAGTTTTATAAAGCATCATGACACTTCAAGTTGTAAGGACTTATACAATAACATCATAACACTTTATCAATCATGACTAAGCAGAAATAGATATATGCCAAATCTATAATATTATATAGGTTTATGTCAATCATGAGGAATTCTGAATGCTTTTTAACCCTTGACAAATGTGGATATAATGTGTATATAATATTATGGATATGGAGTTCATAGAAATTGTGGCCGTGATTAGATCAGTTAAGTTTATCCATTGTTTTCCATGGTTTTAGGCAATTCCTATGTAATTTCTGTGTAATGACAATAGTTTGTGAATATTTATTTTTTATCAACAACACTCAGTGGGAGCATAAATTGACACTGAATTGCCAACATCGTCAACTGTGTTAATCCTTGTCAACTGTTACAGTTGACGGGTAACACAGTTGACATTTCAGCCATTAATAGGGTCTTGTGCAAACTGCTGACTTTGGAATAGTTAGTACATGACCTTGATTAACTTTTGTTTTTATATTCTTTCTCTACATATTCATAAATATAACATGTGACGCAAGTTCACCAGAACATGTTGATAACACAGTTGACAGTCAATTAATCTACTCTATGTGCAGACAATAATCTAGATAAAATATTGAAGAGGAGAAGTCTTCAAATTTCCCTCCAAAAAAGGAAAATACATCAAGTTAATGTTGGACATGTGACTTTGGAACAAACCATTGCTGATTTATAGGGAGTAACAGTTGACATTGATTTCTTGGACATACACAAAATGGATGATTTAATGTAGCTGCAGGAGCAAAATATTTTTTAAAACACCTTTCTCATAATTTAATGATTATTTTGGACAAATATTTATAAGAATATAAACAGAAACGTGCATTTTAGAGCTAATCTGAAGAGCAAAACCTCACATTTACCAAATCGGACAGCACAAAAACAGCAAATTCCAGTAAAGAATATGCAATTTTTGCAAGATAAAAGATGGATATCTGTTGAATTTTTGTATTAAATTAATTATAAATGTCCCCTGATATAAAAGTGATCATTGTTTGAAGTGAAAAGTTATTGAAAAATTAGTCAAATTGATCATAGAGTCCATAGACATGACATGTACCCCTAATTATAGAATGACTCAACATTCATATGCAATCTCTGAATGTGATGTTAGTCATTTTTGAAATCATGCTTTTATTCAAAATTGAAAAATAGACTCAAAAGATTTATATAAAAAATTAACTGATTACCAATTAAAACAATATTCCCAGAACACATGGCTGGAAAAAAAAGAAGAAGCAAAAATGGCAACATCTGCTCAAACCAAAGTAGTGAAATTATTTGAAATTCACCCATATGTTCACTTTATTATTTAATTATATTTTGGACAATGTTTTATCTAATTTATTAAGATATGATTTAGAAATGAAAATGTACTGCATAATAGTAGCCTAAAACCCCTCTGGCATTGGAACCACCCTCAATAAAACGTCACATTGTTTCACACATTTTATTTTGGGAAATAATTGATTATAATGAGCAGCTTGTACACACGAATCAGCTCATATAGCATCATTTTGACAAATTAATTTTTGAAATCAGTACAGTATAACGGAATCAAGAATCAGACCATCCAATCCTTTCTAACAGTCTAACACCTAGGTCATTCCTAGAGGTCAAAGATCTTGACCCCTGCCTCTTCATCAGAGGTTAAGGGTTAAACTAGTCATATGACATTACTGCATTCAACACATCCCTGTCAGATGAAAGTGTCTTGGATTATGGGTTTGTGACTGGTGGTAACACCCACATTTCTAATCACTGAGCTTCAGAATATCCATACAGATATCAGAATTAAAAAAGTAAAGTCCAAATTGAGAATCAGATCATCAGTCCTTAAGAAAAATAAAAACAATAGTATGTGACCCGAGCCCTTAGAAACCTCATGCAACTATCAATGCTGCTTGCCTCGTGTATTTTTTATTATGTTAATGCTATATCTATATATGCAAATTTTACTTCAATTTTAGTAAGCAGCAGGTTGTTAGCACAGATGCAATATTTTTCATTTACATCTCCAAAATAACTGTTGTTCATGTATGAAGTTAAATTTGAGCATAGGAAAGGTCAGCTTTGCAGGTTGCAGGGCAGCATATTGTTATTTTTGGACAGAATTCAGCCTCAAACATCTCTAAATGAATCTTAAAATTAATGCACTCATGTTTAAAACCATTGAAGATGGTATTTTACGAGTATGAAATTATTTTAGAACAAAATTACCTTTCAAAGCATGGCTACATTTGTATAACACCTGCATTGTTCAGCTCAAAACAGTAATTGTCTTCTCTTTGAAGCCCTATATGTGCACAAGAGCCTGAGTGAAATGAGCTGGACAAACTCACTGATCCAAAGCAGCATGCAGAACCACCCCTTTCTTCCAAGTAGAGCCACAGAGGATGGATTTGGCACAATCAAAATAAAAGCAAATAAAAAATGAGTCTCTTGACCACCCAAGTCCAGAGGCAGAATCATTCGAGTGGCCCACCTCAGTTCATCTATCTGAGATGCTCATCCTCTCTCTATTAGAAGCCGAAGACACAGGGGAAAATGTACAAAACAGCCCTCTACCCTCATTATATATTCTTTTAAAACAAAATATGAGCAAAACACTACGCTTTATAAAAAACCTGCATATAGAACAAAACTCGCAACTTAAAATTGAGCAACCTGGGAAGTGTTGGGCTTGGAAACAGTTGCTCTTTTGTTCATTTAACACAAAGTTTAATTTCCACACTGAATCACAGACAAAGACAGTTCAAAAGCCACTCAAGATTGGCCACTTGTGTTTCTCGCAGCTCTGAACGGACGGCAGTTCTGCCGGCTGTGCGGTAATTGGGCAGCCCTGCCAGTCATTAGCTGAAATGCCGTCCCAGTCGGGCTGAGCGATAGTCTACTCTCAGTTGGACGAAAGCGTGGAGGAGGTTCCTGTCAAGGTTGGTCAGCTGCTCTCCAGAGCACACCTGTTTGAGGTTGTCCGGGGCAACAACCAGGAGGTTACACAGAGCATGAAGCGTGTCGAAGAGCTGGAGCACAAGAGGAACCTGTGGAGGATTTTCATGCAGCTGTTAGTCTTAAGACTTTTGTGCTTATATTTGGAAAAGTAAAAACCGTTGAAATGATCCATTTATCAATGAACATAATTCACAATGCTGTTCATTAACGCCACACACATAAATATTGACTTTCCTGCAGAGGTTGACTATTTCCTAAGCAAGAAGTTTCATTGCTGGTTGGTTGCAGAGGAGAAACGGATTAATTTCTCTCATTATGGGTAATTTGAATTCTCTTTAAAAAAAAAACAAACAAACAAAAAAATTGATTTTTCAGATTTAAAAGAATAGCAATTATTTGAAAAATAAATATTTTCCAACATTATAAAACGCCTAATGAATCCCTGCTAAATAAAACTAAAAGAAATCCCTGCTAAAAGAAATATTAATTTCTTTAAATTAATTAATTAATTATTTTTTTAAATCTAAAATTATTAAATTAATGTTTGTGTAACCAATTTACACAAAATATTAAGAAGCAAAAACTGTTTTTAGTAATTAATTGCATATATTTTGGGCCAATAACCTTTAACAAATAAACATTATAACCTCTTGGTGCTTGAAAGTTTATGAACCCTTTAGA